TCTACGTTGGCGAACTACGAAGCTGTAACTGGAATGATTGATGTCAAGTCCAGGTTGAACGTTGGTTGATCAACGGCGATTATGGCAATTAGCGTCATCCTTTGGTTAGCTAAGGTAAAGGAATGCAAATGGTTGGACTCTTCAGTGAGAAAACTCAGTAGGACATTGATTTCCCATAGTTATGAATCAAATGACAATTGGTACAAACCTAGACTTTTTAACTTCATTCCTATAATGCGAAAATTCTTTCATTAACCTTGAATCGATCATTATTAATGCATCTAAGATCCTCTTGAAATAGCTAGTCAAACCTAGATTCTCGTTAGAGGGCTCAGCCAATGTGTAAGGAATCAAATAACTCATTTTCATACAATTACTCAAAACCTTCAAAAATCTATGTGCGATCAATCAATCCAATTAAATTTCTCTCTTCTAGGTCTAAACACAATCCACCCAAAACTAGTCGATGATTAGGAAAAACTCAATAAAACATAGATTGGTTATAGAAACTCAAGTCAAGAGAAAAGTTAGTTCATAGGGAGAGAGAGCTCAAGCCAAAGAAGGAGAAATGAACATGGTTTGCTTGAATCTTCTTCTCTTCTTCAATTCCCCACTCCTTTGCTTGATTCTTGAGCTTCCAAGAGATGGGTTTTGCGTAAATCTCCTCCAATAACTCTCCAAGATCGATATCTCCCTCTAAAGTTCGTCAATTGTATGTTTCTCGCTCTCCAAAGTGTGTCTTGCTTGCAAAAATGAGCTCTCCTATACTAAAAGCCACACAGATACAGAAGCACAGCCTCAAAAACACCATTGGTATATAGATAGTTTTATTGTAAGGCAACAATGTGGTGTTCCTGTAACAACCAAGTCATGTTTGACTAATCGTTCATAATGAAGTTTAAGTTAATTATATGTATAACCACCGACTTCAAATTTGTGTTATTATTGCCGCAACAACTTCATTAATAATCACATTTAGAACTCTGCTATGATGACTTGCAAGTTACAGTGTCTTAAAAAAAACATGTAACAATTTCTAAAAAATGATCGATTTAATGACATAACTTCACCATTATAGGAAAATAGTGATCGACCGGGAAAACAAAATTGTCTACCAATTGGGAATTAGCTTATCACTATTTTATTCTAGTCACGATAATTTAAAAGTCACTATAGTCAGGGGCGGACCCAGGGGCATTTGCGGGTGTCCTGGGACACCCCTAAATTTTGGAAAAATGATTATCCAACCCCCGATTGTAATTTACGTATAGGCAAAAAAATTATAGTCCGGGACACCCAGAATTTTGAAAAAATAATTATTCTACTCTCGTTTGTATTTTGCGTATGGTAATATAAGTGGTAGTTTGGATAATTTAAACCCGGGACACTACTATTATTAATAAGGGTTATAGGTATAATATGCCCCTCTATTATGACGTTTTATCAAACATGTCACTCTACTATTTTTTACATCAAACATGCCCCTGTATTTTGAAAAAATTATCAAACATGCCCTTCTGTTAAACTTTTCATTGAAAAAAATCGTCAATCATGGTTGAACCGAGATTTAGACAACCCGACATCTTCAAATGGGAGCGGAAAATGGCAGTTTTGTCTCCCGTTTTATTTCTCTGGGTCTCGTCAAAGTGAAATTATTTGAATTATTAAGCTATACAAAAGAACCAAAAAAATTCTAAAGTGAAATTATTATGGATATTTTAGACATTTGTGTCACCAAACCAAAGTTCGGCCTTTGTTAACGGATTTTGGATGGAAATTTTAACATAAGGGCATGTTTGATAATTTTTTCAAAGTACATAGACATGTTTGATATAAAAAATAGTTTTTTTTATAATGGAATAAATTCGCTTGTTGTTGGAATAAATAGTTTTTTTCCAAACTATTTATTAATAGTTTTTTGGGTTATATGTATATTATGCCCTTGTACTTTGCATTTTTCTCAAACATGCCCCTCTACTATAAATCACATCAAATATACCCTTATAATATTAAGCACTTCTCAAACATATCCTTCCATCTATTTTTTCGTCCCACAACCGTTAGTCCGGTCCAACCTTATTTTGGACAAAACGATCTGATGTAAATGAGAGGGTGAATGACAATTTTACCCTCCACTCCAACATCATCGTTGCCTAAATCCCATTCCCTTTGTTTATCGTAGCCTCCAACCCTGGTCCAATTTATCATCTGTTTTGCTAAATCGGTCGCCTATCCCTATCGGATCTAATCTGAAGATAACGATTGATTCCCCAGGAGCCTCATCTCCGAACTTCTTCTCTCTGTTTCTAGGATTACCAGTCCAATTTTTTATCGTCGCTCATAGTTTTGCAAAGCTACTACCCAGATCTGCTTCTCTCCCTTCCATCTAGTCGCTCGCAATCACCACTAGCCATCTCGAGATTTGGTTGCTAGCTCACCCATCATTGGTGTGTGTAAAATGAAGGAGAAAGAGATGCATTCTTTGCAAAGTATTAAGGTAGCGGTGGTATAATTTTTGTGGGGGTAATTAGCATAAATGGTAACAAACCTTTGCACTTAGTACAAAATGGTCACAAACCTTTAATTTGTAACAATATGGTAACAAAACTTTGAAATTGTAAAAATGGTCACCGCTATTTAATTTATGACCGTTTTGTTTTAAGTGCAAAGGTTTGTTACCGAATCGTTACGAATTAAATGTTTGTCATGTTTTGAGGTCGGGTAGTTTGTTCGTTAAGTATATGACACTAACCATTTGAACGACATATAAGATGTCAAGTCATGTGTTCATCGACATATTTGCTTTGCCGAATAAGAATGCCCTCAGTTGACCTTTCAATTTCGATACCAAGAAAGTAAGAAAGTAGACATAGTTTTTTCAACTAAAAAGCAGTCTGGAACCCTTTTGTGAGCCATTGAATTCTCTCATTGTCATCCAAAACAACATAATATGATTCACTTACATTAACAAAACCACCATACAACTAGAGTGAATTGTAACGGTGATTGAGCGTTCAAACTCTTGAACTTAATTTGAACAAAACGGTCACCAAAAGTCTAATTTGCAACGATACGGTAACAAAAGTTTGAACTAGTATTAAATGGTCACACTGTTTAATTTGTGACCGTTTTGTTCTAAGAAAAAAAGTTTTGTTATCAAATGGTTACAAATTAAAGTTTTGTGACTGTTTGGTACCAAGTGCAAAGGTTTGTGACCATTTATGCTAATTACCCATTTTTGTTGTCGCCATCACTGAGGGGAAAGAAAACGGAGGCTTCATTTTTCAGATTAAAAAAATAGGGAGATCCTTCATTTTGAAAATTGAAATCACATATTGATATTAGTGTTGCCCATTATCAGCTTGACAGCTTCGAATGGTTGCTTACAAGTAGAATTAAAAATTAGGGAATTCAATTTTTGTTTTAGGGATTTTTTTTCTTGACTGAGTTCTTTGTTCATCTGCGAGGAGAGAGAGGTTTCAAAATGGAAAAAAGCCGATTGAGGTTGCCAATGAATCTGAGCCAAAGAATATGGTGGCGCAATAGTTACATGAGGGTCGCTAAGAGTAGAGCTAATATGGGAGGGGATCCGAAGATGGATGACGATGATGCGATGGCTGCTAGGGATGGCAATTTGCCCACCCATGGGTAATTTTGCCCAAACCCAAGTAGACCCATTTATTATGGGTAGGGTTTGGGTGATGTGTGTATGGGTTTGGGTTAGATATGGATATTATCTAAATGGGTATGGGTTGGATATGGATATCCATTTACTTGAGAGTGTTTTAACTACACATGCAAAAATTGGACTTATTTGTAAAACTTGAAAATTTTAGGTACCAAAATGTAAGACCAAAAAAATTTAGGTACCAAAACGTAATTTTCAGGACTTATATGCAAAAAAAATTAAATTTAGGTACTAAATATGCATATCTATTAAGTTTAGGTACCAAACTGTAATTTGTATTTGGGCATGGGTACAAACCCAAATCCAACCCAAAGTAAATGGGTATGGGTACAAACCCATTAAACTTTACCCATATCCATATATTTGGATTTCATGCCCAACCCAATTGGGTTGGATAGTAAAATACCCATGGGTATGGGCAAAATTGACATCCCTAATGGCTGCGACATTAGGGGAAACATACAGTCGAAGTCGCTAGAGGGTTGGGAGTGGGGGTCGCCCCAGTGGAGGAAATCGATGACCAGGTTAGAGGCAAAAGCCACCATCGGTTTGATGACATCAAGGTGGGGTGGTGGCTGCCGGCTGGTGGTGTGCATCGGAGAGGGATCAGGGGCTGCTAGAGGGAAGGAGTCGATGTGTGTGAGAGATTTTTGGGGACGATGATATTGGAGCTAGAGGAGGGTAAAATTGTCATTCACCCTCTCACTTACATCAGATCGTTTTGTCCAAAATCAGGTTGGACCAGACTAACGGTTGTGGGACGGAAAAATAGATGGAAGGGCATGTTTGAGAAGTGCTTAATATTATAAGGGTAGGTTTGATGTGATTTATAGTAGAGGGGCATGTTTGAGAAAAATGCAAAGTACAAGGGCATAATATACCTATAACCCTAGTTTTTTATGTACAAAATAGTTGAGGGGCATGTTTGATAAATCGTCATAGTAGAGGAGCATATTTTACCTATAATCCTATTAATAAATATAATTTCCATTTGGCTACAACTTTTTTGTTGATCTATTCTAAACACTGTGTAATAGCAAAACCTTATTCTCTATCTTTAATTATTTTCAAAACCTAGCAATTAATCTATTTTTTACAAGTTATCATTAATTTGTATTGATTTTATGGTTGTACGACAAGTGTTGAACATGTCTTTTCAATTTTGAGTTACATCAAAAACAAATTTAAAAGTCAAATATGCGTTCGATTCGTGAATGATTGTTTAAAACGTCAAAGTGTGGACCTAAAGGTAATTTACCTATTTCTTACTTACCATTCAGCTTGATTCGGTTTCTTGGCACATGTTGGTTCAGTTAGCCAGAAAATTAGAATAGTTCTTCTTAGAGCAGGCTCCAACCGGCAACCTCCCTCAGCCCTCCGTCCTATCTATCTATCCACAATTTGTAATGCCCAACTTCCGTCCGATTTTAAAGCATCTCTGAACTCTGATCTCTCTCCGGCTTTCGTTTTCATCTCTCTCTCTCCCCTTCACTTTGTCATTGTCGCCGCTCAATCGGCAATCGTCAATCCCGTCGTAGCTCTATAAAACGCTTTCCCAGTTCCCATTTCCCCCAAACTTCACTCTCCCCACTCATCAATCAACCTTCAATCCCCGCCTCTGTTTGATCGGAAACTGAATTCGCCATGGATCCCAATCCCAAATCCTTCCCGATTCTCTCCTACGTCATGCAGCGCCTGCCGTCGCTCAGCCCCAAGGCTCCGGCTGCTGCTGCTCCTCCGGTCGCCGCCTTCGACGTCGAGCAACCGCCGCCGCCCCGCTCTCCCTCCGATCCTTCCTCCTCCTCTTCCCCTTCCTCGTCGCCCTCCGGCCAGACCCGGCTCCTCTCCGCGATGCCCAATCTCAAGGACCCGGAGCTGCTCGCCTCCATGACCACCGCCATCGCCGACGTCTCCCAGACCCGAGCCATCCTCCGCAGGCTCGGCCCGCGCCCGGACCACGAGACCGTCGACAACGCCAGGGCCAAGCTGGCCGACATCGAGGCGAATCTGTCCAAGCGCCTCGAGGAGGTCGTCCTCACGCCGCGGCCCGAGGACGCCGACCTCGTGGATTGGAGGGAGCAGCTGGCTAAGAAGGAGGAAGACTGCCGGCAAATCGCCGAGAAGGAGAAGAGCCTCTACCTGACCATACTGCAGCTGGAAGAGATGCACGTCGGGTACGATAAGCTGTTGAAGGAAGCCGAGCAGCGGCTGGTTCAGATGTACGAGAACGCCGAGCGGGTTGAGGGCGAGGAAGAGCCGGTCCCTCAGGAGGTGAATGAAGAGGTCGTCAGGATTCTTCAAGAGGCTTCCGGCAAGGGAATTGATAAGGTGGATCTGTCCGCCAGGAAGCTGAGGTACTTGCCCGAGGCCTTTGGCAAGATTCATGGCCTGAAATTGCTTAATCTGTCCAACAATCAACTTGAGGTTAGTGATACTCTTTCGTTCTCGTTTGTTTGCATTATACATTGCTTTCTCTAGTTTATTTGAACTGGACAGCAAGTATATGCATGAATGGCAGCACTTTTAGGTAGATTCTGCCTAATAGCCTGTAGAAAATGAACCGATCCTCGAGTATTTTGCTGTTGGGAACTTGGAACGATTGGATTCGGTAAATTTTTATTGTGCTCCCGTGAAGCAGAAGGGTCTCTAATGGAACAAAGGGACTGGCATATTCATAGTTTGTAAGCTGTGAGGTCTTGCGCTTTGAAATTCATAATCTTTATTTATGGCTTTTGTTATTAGGTTGTTCCTGAGTTTCAGTGTGTCATATTCACTAGTTGAATGGATTCTTGGGGTCTTTAGATGCGAGGTATTTAATCTATGTTCAACATTGTTTACAAGAGAGTCAATGAGAAGAATTTTGTACAGGTTACTCGAGATCTAGAGATCAGGGTTATCATATCTAACGATTCTGCCCTGTTCCTAAAAATGAGAATTCTGCTTCTAAGCACAGTAGTTGTTCTTCCCTCCTATTCTTTATATGCCGTTCTCGTACTTGGGGTCATAAATGTGTGTGCAAACACGCTGGTTAGTATTGTTATCTCTTCCTACCAATCCTTTGATAGGCAGAAATGAATCAAACAGAACATGTTTTAGGAGTTTTTGCCCTCTTTGCAAGTAACACTGGCAAGTTAGTGTTCCACATGTTGCATGTGAGATTCATGGTTTGTTCTTAAATCACTATTAGTAGCACCTACTCTACTTATGGTTTGTTCTTAATCATAAAGTGTGATACTGTACCAGATCCACTCTTTGTCATCCTTGTCTGAATGTTCCATCTGCGAGAAATATTTACCAATGTCCAAATCCAATGACACATCCATTCTGGATACTCTAACTAATCGCTACAACAGTCCCTTATTTTCGTTTCTAGGGGCAACTAAAGCATCACACTTGGTGTTCAAACTGTTCCCAGTAAAGGAAAGTAAATACTATTTCCTGGAGTGCAGAATGTGTAATTTCTGATAACAAAGTTAAGGGTTTAATAAAAGAAGCCTGAGGTCCTATTAATCTACAATGTGGCTTACATATGATTTTGTATTAGTAAGAGCACGTAATTGGAACCAAGTGTCTGAATATGTTTGGTTATATACATATGTGATGTACTTTCTGTGGATACAGATGGTTCCTGACTCAATAGCCGGGCTAGAAAATCTTGAAGAGCTCAACCTTGCTTCAAATCTTCTGCAAGTGCTACCCGATTCAATTGGATTGCTGCTTAATTTGAAAGTCCTAAATGTCTCCAGCAACAAGCTAGAATCTTTACCAGACTCCATTGCTCACTGCAGGTAAAAATTCAACTTTATGCCGAAGAAAAAGGCAAGGAATCATATCAGTTGTCCATTTGTCTCGACTCACTAAATATTTTGATGAGACTACTTTCAGGTCATTGGAGGAATTGGATGTGAGCTTCAACCGGCTTACCTACCTGCCTACAAACATCGGGAATGAGATGGTGAGTCTCCACACTTTCTCTTTTCAGCTGAACAAGATCCGCTCTGTCCCCACTTCCATTGGCGAGATGAAATCACTGCGCCACCTCGACGGCCACTTCAACGAGCTCAATGGGCTTCCACACACAATTGGGAAGCTGACCAACCTCGAGACCCTAAACCTGAGCAACAACTTCACTGACCTGAGGGAGCTCCCTGAATCTTTTGGCGAGCTGTTGAGCCTGAAGGAGCTCGATCTCAGCAACAACCAGATCCATGCGCTGCCCGATACTTTTGGGCGGCTGGAGAATTTGGTGAAGCTGAACCTGGAGCAGAATCCTCTCGTAATCCCACCGGCGGAAGTGGTGAAGGAAGGGGTACAAGGCGTGAAGAGGTACATGGCTCAGAGGTGGATTGATATACTGATGGAGGAAGAGAAGAAGTCCATGCTGGAGACACAGGAGGAAGGCGAAACAGGATGGTTGACCCGCAGCACTTCCTGGTTGAAAAACACCGCCGTGACTGTTTCGGAGTATGTCAGCCCAAAAGCCCCCAGGGATCCATATCTTGATCAGCAGCTATAAACCATTCTCTCAAGTTCCCACAGCTTATTGGAGCGTCGTCTTCATATTGTAGGACTTTGATCTATTGGTCGTTTTCTGGTTTGGTTTTTCATCTTTTCCAAGATAGAAAGAGAACAGTGAAGCAGGGGTTTTGTTTTCTCATTCCCCGTTCATAGTCATAGACATGTCGCACCAGGGTTATAGTTTCTCTCATCTGAAATCAATCTCAGTTTTGGCGAACAAGGTTAGTGTTGTCTAGATTCGTTGGTTTCGCACGTTCGACGTTGATGTATGAACTAACTGCTGCTATTGCTGAAGCCTTGAGAAAGTTGAACGCTCTGTTTGGCAACAAGGGGGGTGCAAATTGCAGGAGGGTGCAAGTTGAGGGGTAAATTGCTGGGGGTGCAAATTGCTGGGGGGTGTAAGTGGAGGGGTAAATTGTTGTTTGGATGAAAAAGTAGGGGGTGCAAATAGAGTGAAAAGTAAGTAATTATATTATTTTAAAATAGATTTTAGATTACAAAATAGATTTTAAAATTTTAAAATATTATCATAAAATAATAAAATAAATATTACTATATAATAATAAATATACTTTACTAAAAATAGTTATTATATAATAATGCTCAAATAATAATTAATTATGACAATTGTAAATCATTGATCGAGCGATCTCAAAACTCGAAGCTCAACTTGTAACTGGTCATCCTATATAGGGTTTTCGTGTCTAGTTTAATCTTAAATTTTCAAACTTAGTCAAACACGTTCGAATTTGTAAGTTTTAACTATTTAGTCAAATAAACTGAGTTAACCAAACAATTTCTCTATATCTTTTCCACAAACACCTCGTATCTCTAATTTTCAATGCAAATTCGATTCAACCAAGAGATCTAGATTTGACTTGACGAACATTGATAAACTTGTTTCCAGAGTCAAATGGTCAACCCCGAATAATGTTTACATTAATGATATTTATAAAAAGAAGAAATTGATAATATTAATTATTATATAATTATATATAACACAATTAGAAAAACAAAATTCCATAATTCCCCCCTCCCCCTCTCTTCCTTCCTTCCCTTGCACCCCAATTTGGGGGTAAGCCGAAACAGTAAATTTGCACTCCCGTTTTGCACCCCCCTACTGTTCCAAATTAACCAAACAGGTGCAAATGTGTTGGAAACTGTATTTACCCCTCACATTTGCACCCTCCTCCCATTTACCCCTCTTCAGAGTGGAAAGGAAATAAAGAAATAATGAAGAGTATTGATGTTTGGACTACTGCTATTGACCGTGGCTTGGGGTTGAATCCTTCAGATCGAAGGAAAGCAAGATCTTGTATGGATAGAGGATCTGGGATGGCATGGCATCACCAGCTTGCTTGCACTCGGGTGAGTTCTGACTTTCTGAGGAAAAGTTATGTAACAGTAATACTGCGATTCTGATGTGAGTGATCTCATATGAATATGATGGAAGAGTCTCTCTCAGTCTCAGGATCTATTCCTCGCAACTGTATCAACCTGTTTCCTGCTTTACATATGCTTATATGCTTTGCTATGCGATTCTGTTCAAGGGAAACTGGGCAAGTGAGTGGACATTGTTCTTTATAGCAATAGGAGATGAAGATAAGATGCCCGGATACAAAAGCTAGAAAATAGTAAGAGTATCTAGGTCGGTCATGGAAAGTGGAAATGCAATTGCGGTTTCCGATTATATTGATGGAAATTCCAATTACAACAATGCAAGCTATCACTTGTAATTCAATATATGCAAGTCACGTTGGCACCCAACTCGCTTTAATTGGGATTTGTATTTTGTTTTCTAGGGTTTGCCCAGTGTAGTGTATATTTTGTGGGTTGCATTCGATGACTTTTGTAAGTAACGTTTAAGTGGTTCTGAGGAAAATTCGGGATGGTGAGGTAGCTGATGTCTTTAGGGATACGCTTTTGGAGGAGATAAGAAGTTTGCGAGGCTCGTTCCTGGAGTTTAAGGTTATTTTTGTTGGTCGTGACTGTAACAGGGTTGTCCACTTGGTGGCAAGAAAAATTCTTTCGTCCCCCCTCCTTAGTGGGGTTCAATTTTGTTTCTTGGCTGTTTTCATGTATTTGACTCTTTGTAACTGGCTGTTTTCTCGGTAATACGAGTAATCTTTTAGCAAAAAAAAAAAAAAAGAAGAGAATCCCTCTCAATAATAATAATAATAATAATAATAATCATATATGTTTCTTATTTTTATAAAATGTTAATTTATTATTTTATTTACGGCTCATTCCCATAGTACACTCCAAAATTCAAATGCATAAAAATTAAATTTAAACAATAAAATGATATAAGAAACGTCAGTTCTGAAAAAAACAAAAACACACGCAAGAAAAAAACAGAAATATCCAAGTCATAAAAAAATTTGAACCATAAACTAAAACCACTTGTCTTCAAAGATCAAGAAGTGAGTTATTTATCCAGTCAAATATTCTTCTTATGGCTAGATCCAATCTCCTAGTCCCTGCGGGAAGGGGGAAAAAATCACGTTCTTCCTGATCAGATCAATAAAATTATGAAAAAATAACTCGATTTTTTTATTGGGTATTTTAACGTGCAATGGATTTTCCGGGCTCAATACATGATTTTCTTTTAGTCTTTACCTATTACAGAGATGGTGTGATTTGATTTTCTTTATTTACCGCCCTCAACTCAAGTCTTAGGAGAAAGACACTTAGTGGGAATAGAAACATTTGCTGAAATAGTTAATAAATGAAATAGTGAGTGGTGTGGTTACCATTATTCTTTTTAGAGTTGTCTTGTATGTGTTCCTAAGAAAATGAATCAGTTGCTGGTAAATTTTTCTTTTCATTTCGCATTCTTTGTGCTTCTGTGTTCAATGACAAATTTATTTTCATTTTTTGAGGGTTAACTTTTATTTCTATATCTTCTAGCTTTTAAAATTTTATAAATAGGTTTTTTACTTTATTTATGCGTCTCATTTGAATATTGTGTTTGTGTCACTTCTTGCATTTTATTTTGCTATTAGCTATATTAACCACTCAATTCTTTCTAGTTGATCATTAAAGACAAAATTTCTTCATCAATAAGTAATTAAAATTCCATGCATGACTTATTGTAATAATTAAAATATAAGGATTTATTATCTTATTTAATTGCAGCATCGATAAAATAATGTACATATGAATCTTGTATTTTATTACAAAATAAGTTGGGTCCACATATGTTGAAAGTTAATTGCATTTAAGTAGTTGCAATGAAAGTAATATGAGTTGGATTAAAAAAATATTGAGGTTACAATAAACATCACAAATGCAATTGATTTTGCAATTGTATGTATTGATGTGGATGGTCTAAGGGACAACAAGAAGTCAAAAAGCTTAAATATATAGTTCGATTAAGGGCTTATTCATAAAATTCACATGCTAAGCCTCCAATTGGAAAAACATCAATCTAACATGACTTTTATAAATTTAGCGATGGAGTTTACTCATACCAAACATGAAAATGAGTGTGAGGTTTTGAATTATACACATAACATTTGTGATTTATTTTCCCTATATAATGTTGTTCTTAGAATTCAACAAATGCATGCTTTCTTTGTTACTGTTTATGAGATATTGGTGTAGATTAAAGTGTCTTGTTTTTCATATTTGTAAAAGGATTTATTCCTTTACCACTAGCTAAAACACTAGCTAGCAAGGATTTATGATTATGGTATTGTTAGGTTTATGAACCTAGTTGAGACGAAAGATAATTTCTTTCTTGTAGAAATTCCAAATAATCTCTAATTGGCTCATGTTGTATAGCAAATCAAGTCCAGGGATATGGAAGGATAATGAAGGTGGTTCCGACCGATCAATATCTCACAGTGGTGGTCGGAAATATCAGAAACAAGTATACCATTGATGGGGTTGAGGGATGCACCATGTACTGCAGTGCCCAAAGAGGCGGTTGATGATGTTAGTTGCTTTATTGTAGTAAAAGTTATCAATACCTCCACAAAAATCTGTAGCGCTCACGATAGTTGCTCAAGATGTAGTCATGATGGTTGTGATCATTCCGCCAAAGGTAAATTTTGGGTTTGCATCCACCATGGCAGTAGGAAAAGATGTCAGAAAGAGAAATGCATAGAATATTTCGAATGTCTTTCAAGTCTCTACATATCCCTAAAAGGTGGTCGACTCCAAAATTTTGCAAAGTATATGGAGGAAGAAAGTGATAAATAGTTATAGCTCACACTAAGAGAGTTATGGTAACATGCCATTCTCCAAAGGTCATGGAAGAGGGAAGAAGTGTGTTTTTCAAGATGTGGGGTTCATAAAAAGAGCGTCCATGGCATCGCCAATATTGGTGTCACATGGGGTTGGAAAGAGGTAGTGATTCTTGGATACAAAATGGATGGGTAAATTTCTCAATTCTACATGATGGTGGGACAAAGTGCAAGTTGGAAAGACGTAGGAAGAGTGTATGCGGGGGTGTACAGATTGTGCAAGGCAAGGCCCATAGAGGAGGAAAGAGAAGTAGGTGGGGCCATTCAGATTCAGGATATGGTGGCATTTGAATTGATTGATGCTAATGCTTGCAACTCATTTTTTGCTAGGGGAAATACTAGTCTTTATGTTCTTCATAGTGGGTTGGTGCAAGATGACATTGTTATCACTTTGAATATGATGATTTAGGAGGATCTGAAAGATGGTAGGACTAATAAGATGAAGGAAGTTGTTGTGTCTCATGATCACTTGGTTTTAGATGCCGCAAGAAATGAGAAATATTGTTGTTGTTTCACCAAATGAATTTTACTCAAAGTTTAGGAATCTGGAAGGGAAGGAGATTCATCGAGAACAATGTCTACATTGAAAGAAAAGGTTCATACTGAAAAGTTTGATGGCGGTGTTGGCTACTGGTTCTTTTAGCGCTTGAGCAAGCAATATATATTAATTTGAGCAACAGATCATATGCTCTGATACCATGTTAATAAATAAGGACTTACTGTAATTGGTATATATTGTTCTCAGAGTAAATGGAAAAAATACCTATATTATAAGAACTATTTACTAAGGAATATACATCTACGACAAACTATATAATACTATGCATGCTTTACTCCATCCTCATCATACTAACTGTATCCATGATTTTGAGTAGCTTCCAACATTTCTCCCAGAAAGCACATACTAAGATTCTCTTAAATGTTACAGGTACACAACCTCTTAGCTTACCAACAATTCGAGAAAGAGCATTCAAACATTTTAATATTCACCAATTAGTACCTATATATAATATCTAGGTTTCGACTTGGGAAGAATTCTCTTCTATATAATATTCACCATTTTAAT